GATACCCCGATCGCCAAGCGGTTCAAAGCCTCTTGGACTGCCTGTGTATTGTCACCAAGCAATGCTATGTCATTGGCATATTCTAAGTCGAGGACTCTGTTCCCAGGGAGGAGTTCGACTCGACCGTTTGCTAGACCGGACAAAGCATTCTGTAGAACATCTTCTATGGCGAAGTTGAAAAGAAATGGGGATATAGGGCAGCTTTGCCTAACTCAACTGGAGACGGTGATGGGTGGCGAAGGTTGGCGATAGGCCCTAACCCGACCTGAGGTATGACGATACAACTCTTTGAGAACTGACACATGCTTCTCTGGTACTACATTCCGCAACAAACAGTTCTATAGTTCGGTCCTGTCGACTGGCTTTATGGGTCTTCTGTTATCTTCCCCGGTCCTTTTAATCAGGACCTCAAACTCATACCATTTCGGTTCCTGTCGGTATATAGTCTTATACCACAGGAACATCTGGCACAGTCCTGTAAAACATTCTCCAAGAGATTTTATCCGATATTACCCATCCCCTCTATTCTGCTCTCAGTCAATGCCCTTTTCACTTATCCCCTCGCTCCAGTCATAAAATTTATAAATGCATGCAATGAAGCTTACAGGCGCTCTATGATACCGTTTCTCGCCAGATTTCTTACAAACTATGAATTTGTTGCAGAAAAACTGCGCAAAATACTAAACGAAACTAATCACGAACACCCTGGTATGACATTGGTTTTTTGATGTTGCTGTGCGTTTCACTTCCCTAATTCCTGTATTACATTTTGATTCTTTTAATTTCTGACACACTGTGATTATGTGGCTTCTGAATATGCATCCACCCTTCGAAGTGTATAAAGCGATTCCTTGAGTTGACTTGACCAGTTTCTTTAGTTGTCGAATTGTTTGCCCAACCTACGTGGCTGTACATCGTTTACATACATACATACATACATCATTTTTCTTCTTTAACCCATCTTCCGTGTAAATGACCGAACTTTATCTCCCTGTCTTACCATGTAAAAAGACACAAACCACTGGGTTCGAATAGAATTTATCCAATTATTCTCAAAATGTGTGCCGATTCATTGGCCAGTGGTCAATCACCTATCTTGTCTGCTTCTTCAGTCCGATGTATTTCTTGGGTTGGGACAAAATGATCCGTAGCCCATTCCAAAAATCATCGATCTTTCGGATATAAACAACTATTTCATTTCCTTCACCATGATTGCTGATGAACCTCATTCCAATATCGAACGTGAAGGAATCCCGAACGATCGTACCATGGCTTTGGAGCAAGTCGTTTGAAAAACAATCTAGTTGCTCTAGTCTTCATAGGATTGGTCAGCTTTAATCGACGTCCGTGCAGAATCTCATATGGCGTCACCATTCTATTCCGTCTTTTCATCAACGATCTACATACTTCACTTGACCTCTGACCCCATACGTGCTTTCACTTGTGACCATACTGTACGGCTTTCTTTCTCCTTCTCCCTCTAGTTCCGCCACGACCAAAACCAATGACAACCATCGAACGCATGTAGTCTGTCTTTTCCGACTTTGGGTTCAAACAACCGCGTTGTTTTCAGTGCTCCCAAGACTTTATTCATGCTCGTCTCCCCCAAACATCAACTTTTCTCATACACGCTTCATTTTATTTGCAACCCTTTCGTGCTTTCTTCGGACTCTATCATTTCAAGATCCCCACGTTTCTTCTCATGCTACACGTACACCCGGTTTCCTATTGCGCACCAGACGTTTATTCACTCCACCCGACCTTCTTTCATTGTACAAAGTACACATTCAACCCGTTCCCGAATACTGCAACATTATGTGGGCTGGTGTTTGATCCTTTGGCCTCTCGGCTCAACCGTATTCAACGTGGAGCCATTCGCCGTCCTTCACCTGGAAGCCATGGAAATGAAAACTCGAACAATTCGTGTACTGAATATTTCACCCGATTGTTTCTATGATTTATTTACTGGATAATGTCTTCCGGACGTCTCGTGGAAACGGTTTGATGACTGGTAGACAAATAAATGGTTGTTTTTATTCTCCCTCAGCTGTGAGGTTTGTTGTCGAGTGCATGGCATTAAAGTAATCATAAACAAATATCACCACGTTCATATGTATCAGTACTGAGTACTATGAAGACAAAAACAACAATTATTGGTGTGTTCTCCAAGCCAGAAGTGTTTTTTGTAGACGTTTCGCAGACAGGCTAGGCAACATCCGGGAAACCCTCCCCAAGTAATCTGACGTTAATTTTCCTATCCCAAAATAACTGTCATATGTGAGTGCTGATTTTTGGAAACATGGTAACAGTAAATTAAGAGTTGCTCTATTCTGCCTTTTATTTATTGCGTACACAAGAATGTGCAGTCATGACTCAGAAAGGAATTCGAGACGACGCAAAGGCTGCCTGGGAAAGTACACATATGGGCGGTGATGACGGGATTCGAAATCAGGACCTCCAGGTCATATTTCATTACTTTGACCATTTGATTAGCGGCGATATCCAGCTGTTCGCGTTCTCCATTAGACACACCGAAGTATACCAACACGCGTTTTATTTTGCCCCCAAAATGACGATCAAAATAGGCCCTAGGAAAGAGTCTGTGATGTTTTTGAACAACGTTTGCATCTCAAATAACACTCAAATCAAAACGTTTTTGGGTAAATTAGAATAAATAGTAGGCTTGAATGCTCACTGTAATTACACAATTCACCAACTACAAAATACACCAGTGAAATCGAGGGATCTGTGCACGATGAGATCGATAACTGTAAGGTTTGTACGTTAACCATGCACACCCGCAAAGAAAATTTCTCATTCTCCCACTCTTCCGCTACCGGTTTGATTGAATTTCCCAGTAGGCCTGCATCGGAACACACGCGCATTCACCTGAGTGCGCGAATCTGTGCACCAATATCGATCGAACTCAAAAATGTGAGAGCACACACTTAGATGTGAAGTGGAAAACCTGCACACAGAGAGAAAAAACTGAGTACACACTGTGCACTTTTATTTAATTGGGCCAAAAATGGTGTCACAATGGTCGAACTTGGTCGGTGAACTAACAACCCACAAACAAGAAACATCACTCGATAGTTGATGAATAAACTTCTTCTGTTTCTCGCCATCCAGTATAGTGAACATGATTCTGCCTCTGTTCAAGGCCAAGACATGTTTCAGACCAAAACAACTTGGTGAGTTCACTTTGAAAAACACTATCCTCTTGATCAGATTAATGAGCACAAAAGTAGTAGATAGATGTTGCGAGTAGGAAGCACTCTCATGCGCAGCTTATGTTAAGCCTGTTTTCTAAATATTATGGTAAACAGAGGAGCAAATGACAGATGACCAGAAACTTTAACACAGGGGCAATATAATTATAAAACGGATGTGAGGAAACGATAGTGTTTGGTTAGCACCAAGACCCACTGAATTAATTATTGTTGTGTGAATAGGATTGTGTTTGATTAGCGTGGTTTCACGAAGTATGAACAACTTCAGGTGGCGACTACGCAGTACAACCTTGAGCGATTTGGCCACATCAGTCTTGCCTCTATCGGTATCGCTTGGGTGCGTTGGGTCAGGCACAAATGTGCATCGATCATGTAAATCATATCCCAGAAGCAGACGAATCCCGAAAGATATTGCGGTACTCATACAAAAGGTTTGATCCGTGTTCAAGGTTCGCAAAATTGAGACACCACCGCGACATCCGGCTGTCATACATACTACAACAACCGAATGGTTCACTGTACGGCCGAAAAGACGGGAGTTACTCACTTACTTTACGGCGACTGGCTCCTGGGGGTGGATTAGCCGGCTTCATAGATAATGCATGAAATTTCTTGGGAGTTAGGCACAGAAAACGTCCCCCCAGCATCACTCGGCTCTAGACCGAGCAAGCATCCCTACCCTCTGTACATGAAATTGGTAACTACAAGGCCCTAGAGGGTCCATGCATCCCTAGTGAGTACGGAGTCATTGCCTTGATCGTTGAGTCGTGTAAACGGTTTTGTCCGCCCAACGCGCTTGTACTGCATTCATTCGTTATACACCGACTCGGCGGAAGTTGAGCTCTCAGTTACCCTCAATCTGGTTTGGCCGGCCTGTCGAGCGATTTACCGGGGTGGCCGTTGTTGCATCCAAATATGAGACCTGAGTGCCTGGAGGATGCCCTCAAAGGAGCGGATGATTCTCCGATTCAAGGTGTGCGACGCCTACTGGGAACTCCAAGATGTCTGCTACGGGTGAAAAAACGCAGACTATCGTTGCTCGAGTTTCGCTGGCTACGTAACGTTGTATGAGTCTGGTGTAGGGCATCTAGAAGAATGGTATCGATGCTTTTGCTGTATTTACTGAGAACGATAGTCTTTTGGATATTGTGATGGTGTATTCGTTACGCTAGTAATCAGGCAGGATGCTCTACTGTGTCAGGGTTGTCGAAGCGGACAGTACATGTTGTTTCTTAAACGGAGCTAAATGAGCGTTGCACTGCGCGCCACTTTCGCGCAATGCGTACATTGGACCGGTTAATTCAAGCTGCATACGATAAAGCGCCCAACCGATTAATACGAGTTGGTTGTATTGAGAATCATCGTTCTCGATCATCTTAGCGACCAACCATCATAGCTTTGATCAAGTAAAACATGGTCCAAAGTTGTCCTTTATTCTTATGTTTGTTGTTCTGTTTTCACGGATTTTAGTGCATAAAAATATTCCGTCAGGATAGTTGAAATTTACTATATTGTTCTTTATCCTGTTTCCGTATCAGTAATATCTTGCGGAAACAGCCAACTGTGGAATTACGGTATTTATTTATCTTCTATCGATCCAAAAAGAAATAGTAGAAAAATAGTTCAAATGGTTCGCGAAAACCGCTGTTGAAATCTGAAGGTATAGTGAACGCTTAATTATAATAATAATGATATCAGGAGGAAATTGGGCACCGGTTTCGTCACGTTCCGTCAACCGAAGATTTTTCTGTAAAATCTTCCAGTACGTCACTGAATGGGTCTATCCTGATACCGATCGTCCCAAATAAATGTTTCACACCGAGCTTCCGGATTGTCACGAGCTCCCTGAGGTCGTGCACAGACCCAAAATCGCCGACCTCGTCGGGCTCCAGAAGCCGTGAGCTCCTGTTTCACCGTGCGCATCACACATGGTTCTGCGTGACCGCGACAGAGGGGCGGTTTCTTCGGTCCAGTAAGAATGCGACGCCAGGCGTGAACAGACGGAGCATCCGGGTCGCCGGAGAAGGGAGGTGCAGTGGACCCGTTCGGTTCGGAGTTAGCCAACGGGGGAGATTCGGGCTGTGAGGCCAGTTGAGAAGCGATCGCATCGGATTTCGATGAGGGGACTGCCAAATGGGGAACAACGAATAACGTGGGTCTGGTAATGAGACCACATCGGACCACATTGATCAGACGTGTGTGCGTGTCAATGAAAACACCAGAT